GAGGTGGATGAAATGAGGACCCAGGCCACTTTAGCTGACTGTTATCTGCAGTTCAGCAGTTCTAATCTCACCGGCTCAGGGTTGACTCAGCCTTCCATCCTTCCGAGGTGGGTAAAATGAGGACCCGGATTGTTGGGGGCAATATGCTGACTCTGTAAACCGCTTAGAGAGGGCTGAAAGCCCTATGAAGCGGTATATAAGTCTAACTGCTGCTGCTGCTGCTCATTATAATCTCCTTCCTTCCTTGGTCCCATTGAGCTCCGTTTTCAATGGCAATGGCCCCATGGGGCACCGGATCCAGCCCACGGGCCTTGACTTTGAAGCCCCTGATCACTCCCATACAAACTCCATTGTTTCCTCATTTCACGTTCAACTCTAATCATTTCTGTACTTTTTCATTACACTCACTCTGCTGGAAACCCCTTGTTCTTCCATTATCCCCGTAAAATGACCGTATTGAAATTACTCTTGGAAGGGCATCCTGAAACACCTGGGTTTATCTTCTGTGTGTGAACTGAAGCAGGATCTCAACTGCTCTGCTTGTTCTGTGCTTTTAAAATCACCTGCCAGGCTGGCTGAGTAATTCCCATATATAGTCATAATCATATTTGGGCTGAAAAATCCAGATGCCTGGTAGTTGGCACAAAGAGACGTAGAAAAACACTTTTAATTTTTCATTGCCACTTGGTGTTTGTCCAGATTTTTGCGACCATAATACAGTACAGTAGCCCCACCTGTTGAGGTCCAATAAGACGCTTTCTTTGTTTTAAAGATTACATGGAGCAAGGAGGAAGTTGGGCCAGGCCCCCTCTGCCAATGAGCCTCAAGGTTGTGCCTCCCTTACTTGGTTGAAGCCACTCAGGGGAAGTAGAAGGAAAATTAATGCCAGGTCTTAAAACTGGCTGAGAAACCCACCCTTGGTGGGCTGCAACACCCATCATAATCACCACTATTTTTCAATGTAAAAGATAGTAATCTGCCAGTACAGTTAATGTTGCTACATTAATGCATTTTTCTTAGCAACTGTACAGAAGTGGCTTGCTAGTACCTTTTCCCAGAACGTTTTACAATTTTCCAGATCAGCCTACAAGCTTTAGAATTTTCTGGTGATTTCCACTCCAAGTATTAATTAGGTTAATTCCTGATTCTGTTGAACTTCTGAACCTAGACAAGGGCAGCCCCATCCTGCCCCCTGCTGGGACTTGCTTTCTGTTTAAATTTATTTTATTTTAGTAAGCCAGTATTTTTTAAGAGTGATCATAGGACCCGTGGGTGCCTCGAAGACCTCCTCAGGGGTCCTCAAAATCAAATTTATTTGCCAAATACTGAAAACATGTGCAAAAGAATTAAAATTCTTCCCATTTTCTAATAATTTGTTTTAAAAAATAGATCCCCCCCCCCGGAAAAGTATCTTATTTATCTAAGTATTTCTACATTATTCAATGAATAAATATTGTATAAATGCATCAGTTTTCATTTTTAATGGTCAATGTCGGCTGGCGACTCCTCGGGGGAGGGTCTTCTCTGTGGCTGCTCCGGCCCTCTGGAACGATCTCCCCGTTGAGATCCGGACCCTTACTACCCTTCCGGCCTTCCGCAAAGTGACCAAGACCTGGCTGTTCCGGCAGGCCTGGGGCTGCCCCATCCGAGGTTATGACTGTTGTGACTTTTAAACTGCTGTTTTATTTTATTTCTGTATCCCCTCCCCTTTTTATTGTGAGCCGCCCTGAGTCTCTCGGGAATAGGGCGGCATACAAACCAAATAAAATCAAATCAAAAATCAAAATAAATGGTAAATGCAAACAAATGCCATTTTGGGATCTTCCACAATTTTTCTTAAGAGTGGGATCTCTTAAAAAAGAGAAAAGATCCCTCTTAAGGGGTCTTGAAAGAAGAAAATGTCAAGAAATATTGTACCAAATTATGCCAGTCCAGTCACGACTGAAGAGCTTGCATGAAAATAGTAATAGGGTTAAAACTAGACACAGCTACACAATCATAAAAAAATAATTAAAATGTGATCAACCGCACCTTACGTATTAAGGAAGAGCCAAAACACCATCCTCATCAGGAAAGGATTAAAATTGTTCCTTCAGCCCTGCAAAGGCCCTCTGCGTCATCACGGTCTTAATATCCTTGTGAAATGTTAACAGGCTTGGGGCTTCTCTGATATCACAGAGAATGATGCTCTAGAGGAGAGGACAATTCTCCCCAGCAGTTTAATAAGCACAGCCATGATCGGTGCCTGGACAATAAGTTCATGACGCAAGACTTTCCAATAGCCCGATTAAATGCCTTGGTCCTCCCCTTTTTTTTTGCCCCTGACAGTACAGAAGCAGCAGGATCAGAATGAGTGCCACGGAGGACCTTCCGAAGATCGACCAGGAATTGTATTCCCGCCAACTGTGAGTCTGATAACATGCGACACAAAAGTGGGAGGAATGCGAAGAAATCCCAAAGGGCTATTGCTCGAGATCTGGTGTAATAGAGACTCATTGCTGATTGAGAGTAGCTGGATAATGAGTGAGCATCTGGTGGAATTTATTTGGGAGAAGAATCTGGGGATTAAGACAACAGTTAACACCACGAAGTGGTCCTGACAAGAAGTGCAAGCAGGAAAACCAGCTCTATCTTTGTTGTAAGGTTACATCAACAGAATTTTGCAAGATTGAAAGTATTTCTCCTCCCACCCCCTTTACAGAAAACTAGAGAAGGTCCTTTCTGAAATGTTTACCACAGCCATCCTGTGGGAAACCCTTTGAGCTGAGATACATTTTACATGCTGCGTGTCCAGCTTGTGCTCTCCTTCTGTCTCCTGAGGTCATTCCATGCATTAAATACATAATGACAGATGGAAGAATAATAGAGAGTGGTAATTGGCAAAGGAAACCGAGATAAGGGTAAAAGTGTTGAACAAGAACAGGAGTGCAGTTCGCTGTTAATGCTTGGCATTTGCATCATTGTGATGTTTTTGTTCCAGCTATGTGCTTGGGTTTGAGGCCATGCAGAAGATGGCTACAGCAACAGTGCTGGTTTCTGGAATGACGGGGCTGGGGGTCGAGATTGCCAAGAATGTGATTCTCGCAGGCGTGAAATCTGTCACACTCCATGACCAGGATGATGCTCAATGGAATGACCTGTCCTCACAGGTATGCAGTTTACTGATTTTGCCGAACAAATTCGAGAGAGCGATAGTAAGGCACAGGTCTTCTTTGATTCTGCTCACACATTCTGTGCAGATTTTATTCTGCTGTAGCTACTTTTCCACAAGACTATATGTAGTATATGTAGATCCATAGACACTGTGCGCATATACATGCATTCATCTATATGTTATCAATTTATAACATCATTCTTAGTCTCCTTTGCAGAGAGTATTTCTTTCTGTGCGGAATGCGGGGGGGGGGGAATATTAAATAAATAAATACATTTATATGCCACCCACTCACTATCCAAAGCAACTTTGGAATTCATCTCCTTTATTAGCATAAAGGAAGTGGCACATTTCTTGTGCAGGAGAATTGGAGGTACCTTGTTCTCCAAATCCTCCTGTCTAAAGAAAAGTGATCCACCTTCTTCAGCCCAAAAAGGACGTTGGTCTCCACTCAGATCTCTGGGGGTAGATCAGAACCCCTGCAGATGGCTCAAATAATTCTAACCCTCTGCCGAACCCCTCCCCTAGTATTGCCATGTCATTTTCCCTTTGTTCATGCTCCCTTAACTTACAAATGGTGCAGTGGTGCGTTTCAAATTTTTTTTAACCTCTTCTGTAGGTGTGACCTGCTTTGTGGGAGTGGCTTGCCAGCCATGTGACTGGTGTGGGAGTGGCTTGCCAACCATGTAACTGTGTGGGAGTGGCTTGCCATCCATGTAANCCTCTCTCCCACCCTCTCTACCCCTCTTTCTTCTTTCCCTCTACTCCTCCCTTCGGTGTATTTCTACTGTCTATCAATATACCATTCCTTCCTGTCTTGTTCTCAGACGATTTGGAGAATAGGTTGACCCCCTTGTCTCTGTGACAGGCCCTCAAATAGCGGGAAACTGCTATCATGTTACTCCTAGTCCTTCTCTTTGTTAGACTAGATCAGTGGTTCCCAAACTTGGCCACTTTAAGACTTGTGGACTTTAACTCCCAGAATTCTCCAGCCAGCTCTGCCAAGTTTGGGAACCACTGGCCTAAGCAACACTGAATATTGAGGAAAAGAACAATTTCTTTATCCTCTACTCGGGAACTAAAATTGTAGCTGTGTTCCACTATCTCCTCCTTGAAGAACAAGGCTGAAAAAGGACTCTGGAAGACTTCAAGTACTCACAGCTGTTGAAAGTAACACCGTGGAGTAAGGGGGAGGGGGGAGGAAAGAAGGGAAAGGGAAGACAAGCTGTTCTCTTTATTGTACCCTCTTTTGTCTCATAAAAGTACCTGAGCTTTTAAGAATAGCTTTTATTCCACATGGGAAAGTTGATGCAACTAGAATGAATATAGGAAAGCAAATTACCTGGCCATTTTGGTCAACTGTGGAGAGGGTAGACGACAATAAACTTCCTGAGGATGGGAAACAACGATAAAGCAGATGTTTTAATGCAGTGTTTCTCAATCTTGGCTACTTGAAGATGTCTGGACTTCAACTCCCAGAATTCCCCAGCCAGCATGGGAGTTGAAGTCCAGACATCTTCAAGTGGCCAAGGTTGAGAAACACTGTTTTAATGTCTATCCATATATCATTTATAGGGTAGAGTCAGAAGCAACAGAATTGATCTGCTCTTGTTTTAAATACAGCTAGTCTTCACTTAACAATAGGGTTGGGATCAGACTTCTCGTGAGGACATATAGTGAGTTAAAGATCCCTGATGGAGCAAAGATATGGTGTTTATGGCAGAAACCGGTGGCTGAATGCTGGATTGTGACCAGCAAAAGCTCTCTGGAGAAAGGAGGAGATTGCCCACATGTAACCGTGATAGTTGTTCCTCATAAATAGACTGCAGGAATTGTGGTTTTTGCAGTTGACTTGTGAGCCAAGGCACTGAGAGTTTAGGGATTCCATCTAAGCTCACAGTTGTAATGTAGGTTATATGGATATAAAGCTCAATTGAGAGGGATGTGCTCAGGGGGGCATGGCCAGTTTGACATCATTCGTGTCAAGGGGCACCTGTGCTGGTTCAAGCGCTCTGCCAGTGAAAATGGGCTCCTGAGCTCCATTTTTTTGGTTGGAACAGCCTCCTGCAACCCACTGCCAGCAAAAATGGAGGTTGGCCCTCCCGAGCTCTGTTTTTGCTGGCAGAGGGTTGCAGGAGGCTGTT